GTAACGATTCTGTGTCCCTGAGTAACGATTCTGTGTCCCTCAGTAACGATTCTGTGTCCCTCAGTAACAATTCTGTGTCCCTGAGTAACAATTCTGTGTCCCTGAGTAATAATTCTGTGTCCCTCAGTAACGATTCTGTGTCCCTGAGTAACAATTCTGTGTCCCCGAGTAACAATTCTGTGTCCCTGAGTAACGATTCTGTGTCCCTGAGTAACGATTCTGTGTCCCTGAGTAACATTTCTGTGTCCCTGAGTAACAATTCTGTGTCCCTGAGTAACGATTCTGTGTCCCTGAGTACGATTCTGTGTCCCTCAGTAACGATTCTGTGTCCCTCAGTAACAATTCTGTGTCCCTGAGTAACAATTCTGTGTCCCTGAGTAACAATTCTGTGTCCCTGAGTAATAATTCTGTGTCCCTCAGTAACGATTCTGTGTCCCTGAGTAACAATTCTGTGTCCCCGAGTAACAATTCTGTGTCCCTGAGTAACGATTCTGTGTCCCTGAGTAACGATTCTGTGTCCCTGAGTAACAATTCTGTGTCCCTGAGTAACAATTCTGTGTCCCTGAGTAACGATTCTGTGTCCCTCAGTAACGATTCTGTGTCCCTGAGTAACAATTCTGTGTCCCTGAGTAACGATTCTGTGTCCCTGAGTAACGATTCTGTGTCCCTGAGTAACGATTCTGTGTCCCTGAGTAACGATTCTGTGGCCCTAAAGTCTCTGTGGCCCTAACTCTGTCCCTAATACAGACAGGTCTGTCTCTCTTGAATGACCGGAGGCTAATGGAGAATTCTAAGATGGCCCGCGATTTTATAGCTCCACCATTACACAGTGCTGGCTGGCTGGCTGCTGATTGGCTAATGTGATCACATGTCATGAATGAATGCATTATGGGTCAGCGCGCCTTGTCTGCGCGCCTTCCCAGAGATCCCCGCTCCGTCGCCACACATGTCGCCGCCATTTTTGGGAAAATTCAATTCCTGTATCTGAAGTTTGCTAATTTTCGGATTCGGCGCGAATCAAAATTTTTCCTTATCTTCGAAACGAATTCCACTTCGCCATGTTTGATTCGCTCATCTCTAGTCATGACCATACGCTGGCAGGACATTTTGGGATCCACAAGACCTTAGACCTAGTGCAGCGCCTGTTCTGGTGGCCTGAGTGGAGAAGGACTGCAAGGCTTTTGTAAATTTCCTGCCCCACACGTAACAAGGGTAACAGAAGCAAGACCTGGGGATTATTGAGGCCCCGACTAGTCCCTGACTGTCCATACAGAATGATATCAATGGACTTCGTTGTAGAACTGCCACCATCAGAAGGATGTTCAGCTATTTTTGTCATAGTGGATCATTTTTCTAAGATGGCCCACTTTATTGCCATGAAGGGAGTGCCGTCTGCAACAGAAACAGCCCAAATCTTTATAAGAGAGGTGGTGTGTCTCCATGGCGTCCCAGGGAACATCGTATTGGATCGAGGGGTACAATTCACCTCGAAGTTCTGGATAGCTCTTTGCGAGAAGTTGAAGGTGGAACTCTCACTCTCTTCCGCTTATCACGCTCAGACCAACGGCCAAACAGAAAGAACCAACCAGACCTTCGAAGCAATAAATTCGCTGTTTCACATCTTTTTCCAAAGTGCTTTCCCTTGGCCGAGTTTGCGCATAATAATTCAAAGCACTCGGCCACAAAACAGTCTCCTCCCTTCTTCTCTAACTATGGATTTCATCCTGCATTCCTATCCAATCTAGTGCCTGAACCATCAATCCCAGCGGTCTAAGATACCTTTGAATTCCTTCAGCAGAACAATAAGATGCTACAGGAGACAATATCAAAGGCTCAGTTAGACAACAAGAAATTCTTTGACAGAAAAAGGAAGGGGGACCTGGTCCTGGAACCTGGCGAAGAGGTATGGTTGTCAACAGCTAATCTAAGGTTAACCTGTGCCTCAAAGAAGTTAGGCCTCAAATTCGTGGAACCTTTTTCAATAAAAAGGAGGATTAATGATGTGGCATACAAGATTACTTTACCAGGATCACTAAGGGTTCACCCCGTATTTCACGTATCATTGCTCAAAACTTCAATCTCTAACCCCTTTCCAGGTCGAGAATTGGGGCCACCTGAACCAGTGATCATCGACAGCGAAGAGGAATATGAGGTAGAAACAATTGTTGACTGTAGGAAAAGAATTAACCTGCTCCAATATTTAATTAAATGGAAAGGTTATGGACTTGAAGACAATTCATGGGACACGGAATCTAACATCCACGCTAAGGATTTAATCGTGGCATTTAAGTACAGGTATCCAGAGAAGATGGCCCAGTTGGGCATCCGGAGGCTGCCCTTAGAGAGGGGGCACTGTCAGGGATCTCTCCCCCATGCAGCCATGGGTCGGATCTCTTCTGGACGCGGCGGTCTATAATGTTCTACACTCCATAACCTGATTCTGTTGCCTGTATCTGATCTGACCCTGACTAAGAAAGTACTCCACCTGCACAGACCCCAGCTTATCCCTGACTATCCGCTTGCCTGCTCCCTTGTACCTGATTCACTCAAATGATCCTGACCCGGCTTGTCTGACACTGCTGCATATACATACCTGTATCTGCACCTGGCCTGTATCCTGGTTACCTGTGTCCGTTCCCGGTCTGCATCCTGGTTGCCGCCATACCTACCTTCTACTGCACCCACGTTCCTGCATTTGCACCTGGCCAGTCACCAGGTTCCCCAGTCACCACCACACCATAGTGACACTGCACTGTTTTGGTGACAGTGTGTAAAAAAAATGTCACTGCGGTGACATTGCACTAGTCCCATTGTCATTATTAGACTTTGTTCACACAAGGCATATGCATCCATGACCTGAACAGTTGTTCCATGCATTCCCATGTGACTAGTCTCATTCAAGTCAAATGGGATGCAGTAGCTACACAGACACATTCGCTGTTCCCAATGTGATATCCATGCACCTGCACAGATGTGTCATTTAGGCCAGTGACTGTATCTGTGCATCTGCTGTGTTCCAATTGACTTGAATGAGACTACCCACATGGAACAACTTTGCATCCCCGTGCAGGTAAACTTGGCTATCGCATGGGGCACAGAAGCACATGCCTCATGTAAACAAGGCCTAAGGACATGCCCTGTGCTCTCCGAAGAATGATCCACATTTGTATCCATGTTTTCTCCTACTGCCTGGACCAATCCTTTACTTGTTTGCTGACCATTTCACTGCCTGCCGACTGCCCATACAACTGATTATGTTCCTGCAAGACACCAGTCCAAGCCATCCCCTTCAGACAACTGCAACAGAGGTAGTGAGCCAGTCAACAGTAAATAGCTTCAAACATGCTTGAGACAAGCATAGACCTACACTCTCAAAAACCCCAACCCCCCCTAAAAAAAAACCCCCAAAAAACACACACAAAAATGGACAGACTCGTTGGACCACTCAGTCTTTTTCTGCTGTCAATTTCCTATGTTTCTATGTTTCCCTGGATGTTTTCTCTTTTTCAGAACATTCTCTGTAAATCCTAGAGATGGTTGTGCGTGAAAATCCCAGTAGACCAGCCTGTCTGCCACCAACTTCCCCATTCTAATGCTCTGTTTGAACTTCAGCAAGTCATCTTCACCACATCTAGATGCCTAAATGCATTGAGTTGCTGCCATGTGAATGGCTGATTGGCAACTTGTGTTACCAAGCAATTGAATGGATGTACATAATAAAGAGACTGGTGAGTGTAGATGGTAAGATATAAACCAGGGGTGGTGCTAACCATTCCATGATCTATCCAGAGCAAAAAATAAACAGTTTTGGCTATACACTTTGAAACATTTTTTTTAACTTTCTGCTACAAAACATATCCAATAAAAAATAATTAAAAATCAAATTTCTTCATAAATTTGGGCCAAAATGTATTTCGCTATATATCTTTGGTAAAATAAAATCCCAATAAGTGTATATTAATTGGTTTGCATGAAAGATATAGTGTCTACACACTTTGGTAAATATATATTGGATTTTTAAAAAATACTATTAATGGCAGTAATCAATGACTTATAATGGGACTGCGATGGGCGGTGGGCAATCTGAAATTAACTGACGCTGAGGGGGGACTGACTAATCCATCACCAGTGATACTAATACAATGATCAGTGATAATACTATACACTGTCACTCAGGGGCGGACTGACAACTCATGGTGCCCCCGGGCAATAGGGGATCATGGGGCCCCTGTGTCCTTGCCCAAACTCAAAAAAACCTATGAAAAAGGTACCAGGGGCATCTCATGGTGCCCCCTACTGACGCCGGGCCCTCGGGCAGTGCCAGAGTTTCCAAATGGTCAGTCTGCCCCTGCCCTTGAGCATCCCGGAAATTAGCCCCTTCCCACATGAGATGCCCTGGTACCTTTTTCATAGGCTTTTTTTGAGTTTGGGCAAGGACACAGGGGCCCCATGATCCCCTATTGCCCGGGGGCCCCATGAGTTGTCAGTCTGCCCCTGCTCAAGGGGTTAAATATGTGCCTGACAATATGTAAATGTGTGCCTCTTTTACTAACAGATCTCTTTGTTTCTTATAAAAGCATGTGTATGCACGCACCCGATACCTGGAGGCAGGCAGCAACATACCAGTAGTATGGACAGGCAGTCCTTAAGTAGTTAAGAGGTTTTTTTCGTTTTCATACAGATTTACAAACCTTTCACCCATATTCAGTTGAATACAGTTAAATAATATGTGAATCTTATGTGAAAATCTTGTGAATCTTGAGGGAAAATACTGGCGTAAAAAAAATTATTGAAACCCACAATCTTCACCTGTTTCCTTTTTCATGTTTACTCCAATATAATAGGACTACTTTAGACCTCCAATATTTTGTGTTTCCAAAAATCAAATATGCTGTTCAAACTAAAAACCCGCCCCTTTTGGTGACCTGCTTATTAAAACAAACCATTTGGAGGCCATGATGGCTTATTAAGTCATATTTAAAAAAAGTACACACCGATTATTAACTTTTATTAATGAGTTTAAAATAATGCTTGAAAGAATCTATCATTTCCCGATTTCTTAAACTATAAATAATTGGATTCAAAAGAGGAATTGCAACAGTGTATAACAGCGAGGTAAACTTGTTTATCTTCTTCTTTGGCTGAGAAGGAATCATATAGGTAATACATATCGATCCAAAGTAAATACAAACAGATGCCAGATGTGAGCTGCATGTGGAGAAGGTTTTTCGTCTTCCAGATCGTGAGGACATTTTCAGAATGGTATGAAATATGGATATAGCTGACTATGATCAAGACAAAAGTGATGACGCCTAGAAAAATTACCATGAACATTTCTTCCATATCCACCAGATATGTGTCTGAAGAAGAAAGCTGCAGAAGTGGAGCTAGATCACAATAGAAATGGTCAATAGTGTTTGAACCACAAAACTGTAGGTGGAAGATCGTAATTATCAACATGGCCAAGACTGTAAAACCAACCACCCATGCCCAAGCTGCTAGATGGTTGCAAGTGTTGTTGTTCATGATGGAAGAGTATCTCAAAGGGTTGCAAATGGCCAAATGTCTGTCATACGCCATAACAGTTAAGAGAAGACATTCTGCACTACCGGATGAGGATGCCAAGTAGAATTGGATGATACAACCATAGAGTGATATGAAACCTCCATTCCACCATACAATGTACAGCATGTTAGGTGTGATCGTGGTGGTCATAAACACTTCACAGGCAGATAGGTTGCTAAGAAAAAAGTACATGGGGGACTGGAGACTTGTACTGGTAGATATCAAGGTTATAATTAACATGTTCCCTGTTACTGTGGCTAGATAAATGATGAGGAACAAAACAAAAATACAATTACTTATGTGTTGGAGATTCCCGAACCCCACAAGAAACATCTCTGTCACCATTGTTCTGTTCTGACCACATGTGGCCTGCTGGAAAATAATACAAATAGTAAACATTATGTAGAGGACAGAATGCAAAATAAATATTAAGCATCAGGTAATAATGACAGACAAAAGCGATTACAAAGGTTGTTACAGGAAAAAAGTGAAGGAAAGGGAAGTGAAAGGCTTTGTTGTGTTTACCACATTAGGTCAGTCATAATTATTTTACCAAATGTTCTCTCAAATCTTCCACTCATCTTAAACCCTCTTTTTTTTATTTTTCTTCTGAAAAAATTTAAGACGTTAATTGTAGGAGTGCTGGACTCCAGAGTCCCTGAGAATCAATGTTCCAAAATCTGAAACATTTTGGCGGCAACTCTCCCTCAAAAGGGATATCACCAAGGGTTCCTGGAGAGGTCTGTTGAGTATTGGAAAGTAGAGATGTGCAGGATGGAAACATATGCTTCGTATCAGATTTGTTTGTTAAGTTAAGAATTTTGTTTCTTTATATTCATTATGTTAGAATTAATTGTTTTTGGCATTTGTTGCGTATATTCATTATTTTCAAATCAATTTTGAAATTTTAATTTCAGAGAACTGCTATATTTATTTTATATATATATATATATATATATATATATATATATATATATATATATATATATTTATTTATTTATTTACTCTATTCTATTGTTTTCTATTCTGTTTTCAATTGTATTCTGTTCTAGTCTTTTCTATTGTACTCTTTTCTGTTTTGTTTTATGTTATTCTATTAATATTATTATTATTATACAGTATTTATATAGCGCCAAAGGGTTTGCTCAGCGCTGTACAATAGCTGGGGGGACAGGACATGAGACAAGACAGAAACAATACAATACAATACACGAGGGGTTCGAGGGCACTTCTATTCTATTCCTTTCTATTCTATTCTATAATATGGTATTTTATTCAGCAGCCTAAGTAGGGTTCATCATCTTATTTCACTTATACCTTACTGTGTTTATTGCAGAATGTTTCCATTTCAAATTCACCCTGATTTTCAAATTAATTTTCAAATACAAATTTATTTTTGAATTTGAATTCTATTAATTCATTTAGTTATCACTTAATTTGGATTAATTGAAATTCATTACTATTTTGATTAGAAATTCAGATACATCTGAATCTCCAAATAATGAAAATTTCATCTGAATTTTGATTCGTAAAGAAACAAATTTCATGTCTATTGAAAAGATAAGAGCTCCACAACAGCCAATGTGTTGGGGCCTAAGACACCCCCTTTCTCAGGGCTGAGAAACTAGAAACTCATCTCATTTCTCATTCTCATGAATGAGGAGTTGGGGTTCCTGAAACATGCTGGCTTTCCATTCTTGTAACATGTCAAATAAAACCCTCTACTGGATGTATTCAACTACAGTATGTGGTGCTCTCATCTTTTTAATACTCTACAGAGATATAATTAAGGGCTACATAGACCCAAGTACAAAAATGTAATAAATTGCAGCTTACCAATTCTTGTCTATAATAACTACATTACAATATATGAAGAGAGGAACGAGCGCTGGATATGATAAGATTCAAGCTGCTAGCATATAGGTAAACCTCGTATACCCCCTTCATCAAAAGTCAAATACAAAAAATTGCAGCGCTTGAGTGTATAATACAGGGAATTAACATGAATAGCAGATTTAAATGTTCATATTTCAACATGCACCAGATTCCACATTCTTAAATTGTTGTAAACAGTGATCAGATAAGTAATGAAGATCTATCCGACTAATCAAGGTGCATATAGTGATGGTGATGTTAAAATCATAAGTTCTGTGATGTATCCAAAAAAATCTGTGACTTCCGTGATAGGGGAATAACTGTATAATGCACTAACCAGATAGCGCAAGTACATGCGCATTGGAGTATAATGACCTACTCCTGGTCACAGCCAGATGATCCTCAGCGTGAAGCCCTCAGGAACACCAGTGCACCACTCTTACCGTCTCCTACCACCAGGGGGAGTGCGCCTCTTTACAGTAACACGAAATCACTTTATATCCTCTATCGCCAGGATTGGTGTACTTTCTTATCAGGAGATCATCTCAGGGGCTCAGCAATAAGACCCAAAAGAAAGAAATCTTGATAGTGTAGTATTTTATTCAAAGGTAAAAAGTAAGTAATACACTTACATGGTAATGTCCAAAAAGCTGATGCACCCCTTTGATAATGTGCCATTGCCACGAAACGCGTTAGGTATAAGGACACCTCTCACACCATTGATTATCCACTTGTTTCATGCATCTGACTGTCGGCCATCTTTTTGGATTCTATGCATCAGCTTTTTGGACATTACCATGTAAGTGTATTACTTACTTTTTACCTTTGAATAAAATACTACACTATCAAGATTTCTTTCTTTTGGGTCTTATTGCTGAGCCCCTGAGATGATCTCCTGATAAGAAAGTACACTAATCCTGGCGATAGAGGATATAAAGTGATTTTGTGTTACTGTAAAGAGGCGCACTCCCCCTGGTGGTAGGAGACGGCAAGAGTGGTGCACTGGTGTTCCTGAGGGCTTCACGCTGAGGATCATCTGGCTGTGACCAGGAGTAGGTCATTATACTCCAATGCGCATGTACTTGCGCTATCTGGTTAGTGCATTATACAGTTATTCCCCTATCACGGAAGTCACGGATTTTTTTGGATACATCACAGAACTTATGATTTTAACATCACCATCACTATATGCACCTTGATTAGTCGGATAGATCTTCATTACTTATCTGATCACTGTTTACAACAATTTAAGAATGTGGAATCTGGTGCATGTTGAAATATGAACATTTAAATCTGCTATTCATGTTAATTCCCTGTATTATACACTCAAGCGCTGCAATTTTTTGTATTTGAATAACTACATTAGTTTCCTTTTTTCGGGCTAAGTACATTTTCATCAAATACAGAAGAATATCTATTAATTGAGTCAGAAGTGCAATTGTTTCTTCTGAGTAAGACTGACGTCTCAAACAAGTTTATTTTCCTTTAAAGCTGCTTTCTGTGCACTACAATTCCCCCCATCACCATGTAATGGACATGAAGAGTGAGGAACATTTTAGTAGTCCTAATTAGGAGGAAGGTCTAGGACAGGAAATGTTACTGGCATGATTACAAGGGGAAAATACATGAAGAAAAGCCCTCAAAAATAGAAAACTAATACTGACACCACATCTAAGGACTCTCAAGTTGCAATATATTACTATTTTTGTTCATGGATTTGGATATGAATCAATATCTCCCTTTATACACTGCTTTTTCTGTTTCCTAAGGCTAGGGATAAACACGAGATAGTGGTTTTAAGATGAACCTGTACTTAGATTCCTTACCCATGCTGCTCCACTGCCCAAAGGACATCCTAGAACCCCATGAATTACATCGTTGTACAAGTACATATGTGACTTTCTCTTATTTATCACTATGTAGTTCTGTACCTTGGGAATGTCCCAAAATCTGTATAAGTACTTACCCATGCCAACCAAAAACTTCCAATGGCCTTTTTCTCAGCGCTCCCCCATTCAAATATTTTCTTCGGGCTCCAGCAAGTGAATGAACAAGAAGGCCTACTATGTTTCTCTGAATGGCCAAGGTAAGATAGAAACATAAAAGGGTGCTCTCTGGAAAAAAAACAAGTGGTCTGTCTGTCTACTTTTACTATCTCATCATTTCCAAAGCCTAATACAATAAAAACAATGGTCTACCTGTCACTAAAAAGAGATAACATTTTAAAACCAATATTATACAAGATTATTACATTTTGTATCTGTGCTATAAAACAGTTGGATAAATGGATCAATACTTACGATTTATCTGGTCTGTGAACCAGATTTTCTGGAAAAATACATGGATAACTGGTTTTATATTTAGGATGTATCTGGTTTATAAACCAGAGGCTCTGGATGGACAGTTGGATAAATGGCTCTATATTTAGGATGTATCCGGTCTATAAACCAGAGGCTCTGGATGGGCAGTTGGATAAATGGTTGTATATTTAGGATGTATCCGGTCTATAAACCAGAGGCTCTGGATGGGCAGTTGGATAAATGGTTCTATATTTAGGATGTATCCGGTCTATAAACCAGAGGCTCTGGATGGACAGTTGGATAAATGGCTCTATATTTAGGATGTATCCGGTCTATAAACCAGAGGCTCTGGATGGGCAGTTGGATAAATGGTTGTATATTTAGGATGTATCCGGTCTATA